GTGTGTGTGTATGTATATGTGTATATTATGTATATATATATATGTGTGTGTATATATATATGTGTGTGTGTCTGTGTTTGTATGTGTCTGTGTCTGTGTCTGTGTCTGTTTGTGTGTGTGTGTATGTGTGCGTTAGTGTGGGTGGGTGTTTGTGTGTGTGTGTACAACCTGTAGATATGACGATGGCTACATGAACATACCCTTCAACATAAAACCTGATTATGTACAAGTCACATTCTTATACGGATGCACTCATAAGTGTGCGAGCAATTCGTTTGCATATAATAGTGTATCACTCACTTTGCTTGTCTTCTGGATTGAACCTACCTATACTTTTGAATACCTTTATACACACAGTGGATTCAGCGACCGATACTTTTGTACAAGAAACCGTTCGCACGTGGTTTAGAGAGAGCACAGTTATTGAGATTGCCCATCGTTTGCATTCGGTTATGGATGTCGATCGAGTTCTGGTAAGCGTGTGTGTGTGTATGTATAGGTACATAGCATTGTATGGGAACGTATGCGTGTGTTTGTGAGTGTACATGTGTGTGTGCTTGTGAATGTTTGAATACACGAGTGTACTTGTGCGTGTTCGTGCACCTTTGAATGTACTGTATACATAGAGATGATATGCTGTCCGTTCGGCTCTGTCGGTGTGCTCACGGATGTATACTTAAATGTGTCTAGGTGTGCCTGCTTATCGTACATACTTCAATGTATGTGTGCATTCAGTATCCCTTAGCAATAAAGGCACATACTTATTTAACCTACCCCAGAACATATATCAGTACAAGAATATGAAGCACAAATGCTGAGATCATTCAATATATACCTGTAGGTTATGAGTGCGGGCAAGGCAGTTGAATACGACACGCCGGTGAAACTGTTGGAGACTAGAGGGGGGGTATTCCGTGGCCTTGTGGAAGCGAATGGGAGAAATACGGCCCAGAAACTCAGCGACATGGCATACGATGCTGAAAGGTGTGTTTGTGTACTTAAAGGAGAGTATACGTTGCTATAGTATGAGATGGATCTATTTGGATTAATTATATTTATATGGCTAGATGGATGCACATAAGGTTTGCTGGTTTGCTCATGCATATATATGATTATTTATATATATAGATACTTATATGTATCTCTATATATATAACTCATGTATATGTGTGTGTGCATGAATGCATATGTATATACGTGTTTATTTATATAATTGTATAGACGTCCATATGTGTATTCGAGCGATAAATATTGTGATACCTCAGTCTACTGAGGTTGGCACTATGCTTGCCATGAGCTTATATAGACATACTGAGCTCAAGAGGTGACGTAGCTGCAACTCACAATTGCGCTTTCTTGGACAATGACGGAAGAGCCAGCAAACCATACATCGGCCGTATCTTAAGGTTTTTACAGACAATTATCTTGAGGTTTTTACATACAAATATCTTGAAGTTGTTGCAGACAATTATTTTGAAGGTTTTACGGACAATTTTCTTGAGGTTTTTACATACAATGGCATGCATTCACATTAAAGCGTAAGGGATTGGCATAGAGCAGCTTAGTCTCGTACTTACAGGGCACTTGTAAGAAAGTGTCGCTGTAGGTTTCAACAGGAGGTGAACATCAATACCGCAAGTCTATCCCCGCATTACTCTATAGTTTAGACACATCTTGTTGGATATAAAGCTGAACCTTCATTGTGCTTGTCTTGCCATTTGAAATAGGAGACGAAACAAGAAGCACCCCGATATGCAGAAGGAAGACACTGCCGAATTAAGCCAATCACACGCAGCAAAGATTGATGAGAGTGGCGCTGGCACTAGTGGGCAGAACACGTTACTCCCGGACTCTACGGACAATGTGCTTACCATAGGCGACGAAAATTGAAGTGTACAAAATGTAAAGTGTCAACTCATTTCAATCGTGGCTGAGTGAAATTAGAAATAAACTAGAGTAGAGGTGTAGAAAGGGCATTTCAAGTTTGGGAGATTTTAATAGTGACGAAATGACATTACATTATTGAGTGCATAACTAAGCTGAAGTTATTTTAGGTCATCCTAGTAGGTTGTGATTGTGACAAGATGACACCACATTAATGAGTGTATATCTAAGCTGAGACGCTATAAGGACATCCTCGTAAGTTCTGATTGTGACAGTTTATGGTTGGTGCATATACCTTGTCTGATCGCTTTGTATATTGTCGTACTACAAGGAGTGTACATCTAAGCTAAAGTGTTATGATGCCATTCCATCGTATTCTGATTGTGACTAATTGGCAGTACGTTGGTGATTGTATATCTAAGCTGAGGTGCTATGAGGACATCCTAGTGAATTCTGATTGTGACTAGAGAACTCCATATTGATGAGTACTATGCACCAAAATCTGTGATAATCATTTTTTGGGCTGATTTTCAGTTTTGGAGACGGAGCGTAAATAGTAAATACTTCGGGAATTTCGAGGTATCTCTTTTTTTCTAAAAAATATAAATATTCAAGATGTAAATAGTAGTTGTGAATTCACCTGTATATTTGGCCAAACTTCTGCATACATACGTATATACCATTATAATTATTTGTCGATATCTATTTGTGTATCCATCTCAGCGCGATAAATATGTGCATTCATGCTTGTATAGACATCGGGTAATTTTATATAAATACATATTGTATACATGTGTTTCTTATCATTCGTAATGATACATATACCTGGATATGCTGATATAAGATGCATATTTCATATGCATCTTATATAGTCATTTTATATACAATTAACATTGAGAATGTATTTACAATTAACATTGAGAAAATGCTTTAAAAAAAATATGTAAGTTTTCTGACATATGGCTCTGCAACTGTATAAAAATGATGCGATCATGACATAGCACTACAGTTTGGTACTCGGTACAGGACTTACGAGCATATAACTTTTCTTACTGTATATGGTGCCTAATGTTTCGCTTCGCCGTGCTGTTACATGGTGTGTTCCTTCGATGTGTAGTCCGAGTTTCCAGTTAGGTGAATAGTTCGGTCAAAAAGGCAGCTTACGGGACTGTTGGACCTGATATTAGTTGTTGGAATATCCCATTTCAGCTACAAAAGTGTGTTATTTATTAGGTGTTCGCTCATAGTATGTATACTTATTATTTATGGAATGAATCAAGGGGAAACCCCTCGGTTAGGAAAAACTTATCTATACTCGGGCTCTTATATGCGATTCCCATTGGTGAGTAATACATGGCCCTGTAATAGGATGTCACGCTTGCAAGACTGCCCCATGTAGTGTGGAATAAGTTTCGTGCAGCAAGATCCGTATAAAAAAGGTAAAGATGGTACCTCGGGCGCTGAAGGTGTGAGGAAGCAACAGTGGTTGCAGCTTAAAGGAATACAGCGAAAGTAGCAGTAGTTGCAGTTCTAATAAAGACAGCGAAAGCAGCAGCTACAGCAAGTACGGAGCCTGTTATGACGATCAAGACATCGGTGATTGGTAGTGTTGCGCCAATAATAGGCAGTGCAACATCCATCGCCCCAAGTCAGGGAGTCGGCAATGTTCTGGTGGGAAGTTTGTCTTGACACGGGAGCAACTCCTACACTGTTTAGTCGAGTGTTGGCCTTATCGCGACTTCACGGGTATAGCCGACATGGAGTAGTTGTGTTCACTGTATAGTCTTTGTCAACATTGAATTTGGCATAACGCAGATAACGCAACTTAAATATCTGGTGGTCACAGAAGTCACAATGGGCTGTGACTTGCGTATTGTCTATGTCACTATACAGGCATATAAGTGGCAACCAATGTGGCACGACAAGTTGCTAAAGTTGATTCCGCATGGCGAATTGATGGATACTTGGACTGTGGTTGGAGCAGTAGACGATGCAAAATCTTCCCGATTTCTTAAATTCCCGACCTTGATGCGGTCCCTCAGTACTTGAGCTATCTTGATAAATGCGACGACAAGTTGGTGATTCTCAGAGCTAAAGTGGAGGCTTGGCTGGTCGTGGGCATCATTGAACCCATCGGGAAGACAGAGTGGTACTCTGCACCATACTTGGGTATCAAGAAATCAGGTGTGGTGCATACTTCTGTGGACTGGTGGCGCTGCTGTATACCTACGGAAGAGAATAGCTTTCTACAAATATAAGTAAATTTTGGTAGCCTCCGTCGACATGGGCCAGGGTTTCTGCCAGTGGCGCATTGCGCCCGAGTCGCGCAAGTATCTTTCATTCGTCACGTCTATTGGTCGTTACACATTCGCGTATATGTCGTTCGGTCTAATAGAATCGTCCTGGCGCTGCCAACAAATGCTCAGCGATATGCTTGACATTGTGTGGTACATCGATGATATATCCTTCGCGCACGATGATCTCTTGCTGTACTGGAACTGTATAGTATCTCTGGTAGTATGCTGTGCGATATGATGTCCAGCTGCGTCTCTCTAAATACCACATGGCGCAATATAGATCCCCAGTGGTCATTCTCGGGCGTTTGACATGATTTTCGATTGATTCCAGTCGGCTATAGGCCTTACTGTCCCTCCGTGCGCCCACTTCCTAGGACTTACTTAAGTCCTGGTACGATACTGTAGGCAGATGAGTGGAATTTTTCCCGTCTCTTGGCTGCTTTGTCGGTGTTGTTGAAAGATGCGTCAGTCTTCATATGAGGCACGGCGCAGCAGGCTGCTTTCCGTCGCACTAATGAGTTACTACGGTCTTAAGCGATCCCAATTGAACCGCATCCTCAGAAGCAAGGGACACACTATGCAAGAATACGTGCGACTATGGCACAAGTAACACGGCACTCGCTTCCCAGACCAGCCTAATGGTGTTAATGTTCCTGAAGGTCGATGATGTGGACGTACGTTGGCGGGCTTTCCTGACCACATTCTGGCTCAGAGATTTGAAGAATGAGGCAGATGAGAAACGCAAGGATAAGGCGGTAGACGACAGAGGCATGAAGAACGAGGCAGATGAGAAACGAAGGGATAAGGCGGCAGACGACAGAGGCATGAAGAACAAGGCAGATGAGAAACACAAGGATACGGCGCAGACGACAGAGGCATGAAGATCGAGGCAGATGAGAAGCGCAAGGATAAGGCGGCACACGACAGAGACAGGAAGAACGAGGGAGACGAGAAACGCAAGGATACGGCGGCAGACGACAGAGGCATGAAGAACGAGGCAGATGAGAAACGCAAGGATAAGGCGGCAAACGACAAAGGCATGAAGATCGAGGCAGATGAGAAACGCAAGGATAGGGCGGCACACGACAGAGACAGGAAGAACGAGGGAGACGAGAAACGCAAGGATACGGCGGCAGACGACAGAGGCATGAAGAACGAGGCAGATGAGAAACGCAAGGATAAGGCGGCAAAACGACAAAGGCATGAAGAACGAGGCAAATGAGAAACGCAAGGATAAAGCGGCACACGACAGAAACATGAAGAACGAGGCAGATGAGAAACGCAAGGATAGGGCGGCACACGACAAAGGCATGAAGATCGAGGCAGATGAGAAGCGCAAGGATAAGGCGGCACACGACAGAGTCAGGAAGAACGAGGGAGACGACAGAGGCATGAAGATCCAGGCAGATGAGAAACACAAGGATAAGGTGGCTGACGACAGAGACATGAGAACGAGGCAGATGAGAAACGATAGGATAAGGCGGCAGACGACAAAGGCAAGAAAAAGGTGTACGAAAAAAAAAATCTACCATAGGTATGCGCACAAGATCACTGACGGAACAAGATTTTTGCTCCCCGACGGAAACATTTTCCTCGTAGAGAATGTTTGTGGCGATGGGAACTGTTTCCTCCATTCAGTTTGCGATAGCCCCTATTTCCGAGAGACAGGTATGACAGACCACCGAATTCTACGCGCTAATATTGCAACATGCGACCCACCGATGTTCGTGGAATTCGTCAGAAGAATCGAGTATCTTAACAGGGAAGATCAAACAGAGACTTTTTGATACAATGGAGGCATCGTATAGCGACAGACGAAGAATGGGCGGACATTCACGCACATTTTGATTTATTGGTAATGTATGGTGCTGATATTCGCTCGTAGAGTATATATTTGGACCCGCCTGTATAGATAACAGAAAGTCGGCATCTCCAATGGTACACGACGACTAGAAAGCATGGACGAGATCACCGCTCTCCTAGCAGCAGGGGTTACTTATATCCACGTATACCACATCAACGATTGCCACCACATGGTTTTAAAGAAGGACGAGAGCGAAAATAAGGAAGTAGACGATAGAGTCTGGACCTTCAAAAAGTAAATGAAATTTTTTTTTGTGTGTCTTTCGCATGTATGCATCTTATTTTTATCTATCGCATGCATCTTTTTTTTTGCGTCGTTCGCAGGCATGCGTCTTATTTTTGTCTATCGCTTCTATCGCATGCGTCTTTCGCCTACATCTTATTTATGCGTCTTTCGCCTGCATTTTGTCTTTCGCCTGCATCTTGTTTTTTTTTTTTGCGTCTATCGCGTGTTTATCGCAGGCGTTTACCGCATGTGTCTTACTTTTGCTTCTTTCACCTACGTCTTATTTTTGCGTCTTTCGCCTGCATCTAATTTATGTGTCTTTCGCCTGCATCTTTTATTTTGTGTGTCTATCGCATGCGTTAAATATTTTTTTAACATATGAATTCCTGTAGGATGGAACTCCGAAGATATACCATTATATACTTGATAGGGCCACCATTTGAGCGGGAAAAAAACAGAAAAAGAACTGAAGCACAAAGGTAATAAGTCGGCTCAAATGAAAAAAGAGTAGATGGTGTAAATGCCGAGCCTCCACATTAGAATCTTGTACTATAAACGTACTCTTGATAGTACGTAAAACGTACTCTTAATAGTACGTAAAACGTTCTCTTAAAAGTACGTAAACTCAGTTTTCCTTAAATGATTTTTATCGGTTTCATTAATTAATACCTTTTCCATTTTACATATCAGATATTTGGACAAGGTCATTAAATGGCCCCAGAAAATACCAAATATAAGATTTGGTCTAGTTCTATTAATAGAACTATATTTACTTTCCAAATCTAATTATATCTGAATACTTCGGTAGCGAGATGGCACAACCGAACATAGGTTTCTAAGGACTATTAGCGTTGCTCAGTTTATCCTCCGTTCAGCCAACCAGATATGCCAGTCTGATGAAGGCTAAGTCGGTATTTCTTGATAAGTGGCAAGTTATAGGTTAATGCAATAACTATGGACATCAAGAGTATTTTTCTTTTTTCTTGTCTTTTTTTTTCCTAACGATAGGATTTTAGGAGTCTCTCGGATTCGCCCCAACGAAACATACCATAGTTTCTATTAGAGCGACAACGAAACACTAAATAAAATACCTTCGGCTAAAACAGTACTGAGAGGATTATGTATAGGTAATGTCTCAGCCTCACAATCCCTGAGAGTATTGCTGTTTTCACGAGACATACCTAACTTCACTAAAAGACTCATTTTGTTTATTTACATTGAATTTAATTATACTTAGACTTAACCCAAGCGTTTAATTACTCTAAGGCGTTAATATCGCCTTGATAGACCGAAACTTACAATGGCGCTTTTGTCTTTACCAGAAGGACTCGCGACTGATGACCAGAAGAATGAACTGGCACAGAAATTGACGAAGGTGAACCCGGACTTAGTTAAACAGATACAGAATTAGAGGAGGTTAGCAACTCAGCGGGTACAACAGTCATCGCAAATCACAGAAAGGAAGCGATCAACTCCGGCAAACAAGACAATGGGAGGGAACGTTCAACAAGTTGGGATGATGAGAACTCTTACATGCTGGGGAGCGATATCATTCGTCTCCAGCATGACCGTAAACGCATTAAGCGTACGGGTTAGCGTGTCGAGGTCATGGTTGTTTATAAACTCGACCTGCTTGCTGTTGGCATCCCAGTTCGACTTAAGTCGACTGATCTGTCCCTTGTACTTCTGGTTATCCCGGTGGTCTTGTCCACGTTGGGCCTGAAATAGCTGATCGATGCGCTTCTGCTTGATCGCGATCATATTAGCAAAATATGATACGTTTTCAACATGGTGCTCGTCATGGGCGGTTTCCATATAATCGTCGACCGATTTATTAAGTTTGGTCACCTCGTCAGAGTGGAAATCCTCTCCGGGTTGGTGTTATGCGATGCGATCGAAGCGATTAAATTCGACATCGTTAACACGTTTACGGGAGTGTCTATTACCCCTTGTAAAGTCCATGGTCGAGGCCTTTCGGTAACTCAACGAACAAAACTTCAAGATTAACGAGAAGAAATGTCACTTCGCCATGAGCGAAATACAACTCTTAGGCTACCGAATATCTGGGGAAGGTATTAAAATCGACCCCGGTAAGGTAGAACACCTGTTAGATTGGCGAACACTTAAGATGTCATAAAGGCAAACTAGAAGACCTGTGGACTAAAGAGTGTGATGACACATTTAAAGCGCTCAAACACGCAGTCCAGCAAGTCCCTGTTGTACAATGACCAGTCGATGGCGTGCCTTTTGAAAAAGCAACGGACGCATCAGACTTAGCCCTCGGAGGTGTACTATACCAGGTTATAGATAATAAACCTAGGTATATACAATTCTTTTGCCGAGCAATGAATGCATCACAGTTGAATTATCCAACTGTGAAGCAAGAGCTACTAGCCATAGTAGCAGCTTTAACACACTTCCGCGATTACTTATACCGAACAGCTTTTACGCTGATGTGTGATCAGAAGTCCCTTCAATATATGAAGGAAATGAAGCCAGACTCTCATTTACTGAGCCGATGGCATGATACAATATCAAAGTTTCCTTTTGATATCAAACATCTACCAGGGATACATAATCATTTACCGGGTATGGTATCACGCTTCGTACCGGACTTTAATAAATCCGTACGTGAGTTACTAGCCACTGATTGGAAATGTAACCCCAGGTGGTTTGAAGTGGCTCAAAAGATATTTGGGCCACATGCAGTTGACATGTTTGCTGCACATCATAATGCACAACTTAAGAATTACAGGACTTTAAATCATCCTTTAGGAGATGCCTTTCAACTAGACCTCTCCAAACATAATGCGTGGGCTAATCCACCATGGCAGTCAATTGCCCAATTACTAAATTATGTTCATATACACAAAGCTACCATCACGTTGTGTTGCCCATTACGGAGCAAAGATCCATGGCTCAATAAATTAATATGCATGATACAATGCGAGCCAATATATTTAGATAGGGAAGTAGATACTTTCCTATATCAGGGTACCCGAGTCG